CGTATCTAATTAAATGCGACTATTTATAGTAATTTTCAGCTTGTTTTTTTAGGAGATTCGGCGACATTTAATGCAGTAGTGCTGCATAGGGTCATCTATCCCACAGACGGGCCCTGCAGCAATGATGAGAACACATGGGAAACAACAGTTGATTGACGGGTATTTAATGCAGTTGTTGGGTTGACCTCAGCCCCCCATGATGTCGGCTCTTCGCCGAGGTCGCTTAGTGGCTAATGTTGACCTCGGTTCCCCACGATCTCGACCTTTCGCCCTGGTGGCTCAACGGCCAGTGAAGTCGGTTTTTCCTGATTGCTTATGTTCCTTAATCCTCCACGTGTCACCTCCTAATATGGGAATCTGATTTTGATATCAACAAGTGGTTTGATTTGGGTCAGAGATTTGTTAACTACTGATGGCCGGGATCGGGGTGAGAGGAAAGTACATAAGTGCTTCCAGAAGGAGGAGGCTGCAGCTATTATAAAGATCAATTCTCTTAGCTTAAATGCTTCTGACGGATGGGTTTTGTCCCGTCATAAAAAAAAAAGGTTATGTGGCAAATACTTATTATCATCTCATTGAACAAAAAAAAAAAAAAAACTCAAAATTGATAGGGCTCAAGGGAGTGAGGTTGTCAACAAGGGTATAAAAATAAGAAAAAAATTATGGAGGTTGAGAGTTAAAGGTAAGATGAAACATTTTATTTGACAATGATGTGCATATATCGTTGCCTGTGAAGTTGAGTTTAAAAAATAAAAAAAGCCAGACCAATGTTGATCTGATTTGCAAAGTATGTGGTGTTGAGGATGTTGGGATCTATGAGGATCTCGTTATGCACAAATCACGAATTCAATAGCAAACTTAAACCTATGCGCAGCAGATCTAAAGGTTTGACATAGAAAACTTATGGCTTAAAATTTATGGCGATCTGGCTGATCTCTTGGATGGCCGTACACAGCACACCATTGAAAAGTTGATTGCAAATATCGTCATAGGGTTGCACGAACAAGATCGGATCGAAAACTGGATCAAGCGGGGCAAGGTATGCAACGAGCAGCGGTCCTGCTAAAGGGTGCCGGTCCAGGAAGAGAGGCAGCAGGGCAAACAGATGAAGACAAAACTTGCAGTCTGGGACCTTACGGCGGAACGTGCGGGTGCGCAAGAAGTCGGACGACTGCAATCTCGACAGCGTTGGAAATCTCTCGTCAAGAAAGTCGTCTGGGTATGTTGCACGTCTTGATCGGACCTCCGGTTAGTTCTGTACGACAAAATATATTTCGTCTCGGTTTACCCGAAGATCTTCTACTGTATATCTCAAACACCTCTTAATCTTGTACCGGTGGAACAAA